CTGGATCTCGCTCGGGCTCCCGCTCTGGTTCCCGCAGTGGGTCCAGGAGAGGAAGCTTTGATGCCACAGGGAATTCTTCCTACACTTACTCCTCCTACTCCTTTAGCAGCAGCTCTATTGGGCACTAATAGTCAGTTAGAAATGGTTGCTATACCTTGACTTCATTTATATGCGTTTTTTCACTTTATTGAATAATAAAGAAAATCTAATGCTTGCAATATAGTGATAGAATTTTCTGTGCTTAAGAAAACATTGCCAGGGTTAAATCAAGTAGTAAAGGCGGTTCTGGCTTTTTATCTTCTTAGCTCACCTTAGCTATTGTAATACACTGAATGCAGTGTATATGAAGTGGTAATCAGTTGTAAGGATAGCACAAATTGAATTTAGAATTTGTTTTTCTTCTGTTTTTAGATTTTTGATCCATTCTTCTTGAATATTTTTTGGCCTATAATACAGATTTCTGTTCTTGGAGATGAAAATTAAATTGATTACTAATATTTTAGTCACCATTTTGTTTCTCATCTAAATATTTCCATTTTCTGTATTAGTACATAGTACCCCTTCCCAAGAAAAATCCACCCAAGAAAACCCACCCCAAACTAAGCATTTTGGAATGAGTCTCCTTTTAGTTTTAGAATGTGGATTGTATGACCCCTATACTCCTATGTATCTGTTTGGTTTGGTATTAATTTGACTGTATGTTCATAATAGCAGCAATCTTTGCTTTTCTTTGGTCAAAGTTTTCTGTTTATTTTGCTTGTCATTTTCAATGTACTTTAAAAAGATGTCTATGAAGTTTGCTCTTCTAGCAATAAACTTTTGGACTTTTGAATTTTTGTGTTTTGATTTAATAGCATGTTTATACATACAAGGGCATTTAGCAACAGCTTTTTGATTATTATAAAATATATCTAAAACCATCTGTTTTCAAAACACATATTAAGAAAGACTACTTATAAACTATTTTCATTCTGAATTCGTGTTAGAATTTCATCTTTGTAGTTAGTTTTTTTTTTCAACATTTCTCAAGTGCCTGCTGTATACCAGGTAGAGTCCTTGGAAATAAGCCTTTGTAGAAGCCAGGCCAGAGGTCAATACCCTGTTCTATTTTATGCTGGACAATGAATACCAAGTAGCATGGGCAAGTTATCATCATAACATTTAAAAAACATGAGGTGACTAAGATTCTCATTTGGATATTTCATTTTGTCCCATAAAAGGATTGTCCTTGAATCTATGAAGATAGTTTCTGAAGAGTTCTTGACTCTCTGTTGAAGGACAAAGAGAAACTTGAAATTCAGACATTTGTCATTAAATTAACATGACTTTAGTGAATATCTATTTAGTGTCTAGTATTCTAGGTACTATGAGGTTCAATAGAATTTAGAAGACCCCTGACTTCAGGCCTTTGCAGCTTGGATGGGGACAGAAGGCACACAACGCAGTCAGTGGGACAACTTGCATATGTCACTAGTATTAATACAATCAAACATTTTATAGTGCAGAGAGGAAATAGGAAAGCAAGTTAAATGCTAATTGATCATACTTAAGATAATACTTAAATTATTGGAGCTTTTGGTACTTAGCGTGAAAACAGCATTCATGTCTTACCTCTTTTCTTGCCCTTGCCCCCTTCCCAATCTAGAAGGGTTTGTAATTAGTTTCATTCACCAAATATTGAGTTCTTCTGTGTGCCACACATTGTGCCAGAAACTGTAGATCCCATGGTAGGAATACATGGTAAAAAAATAGTCCTTGTAATATGAAAGGAAGAAAAAATATATGATAAATGCTATGTTGGGGGAAGTAGAGTTTCCTTATGCTAGAGCTGCAAGGCTGTGTTATCTTGGGCTGCTGTAATTAGATACCTCAGATGGGGTGGCTTAAATTTATTTTCTCATAGTTCTGGAAGGTAAAATTCCAAGATTAAGTTGCAGTCCAGGATTGGTTTTCTGGTGACAACTTTCAGGCTTGTAGACAGTGATGAGTATGGAGGGAGCTTTGGTGTCTCTTTCTAATCTTTTAAGAATACTAGTCCTATCACATTAGAGCCCCACTCAATCATCTCATTTAACCTCCCCCCCTCCCCCCACTTAACCATAATTACCTCTTTTAAAGGCCCTATCTCCAAATATAGTCATATTGGGGGTTAGGGATTAGACAGCATTTGGGGGGGGGGGGGCGGGGAATGACACAATTCAGCCCATTACAGAGGCCTAAACTAGAATAGGGCAGGAGACTGCTCTAGGAAAATGATCATTAAATAGACTAAAGCATCAATATAAAACAATTCCGAAACAGTGTAGCCACTTCGAGCTGCTCTAAAATGAAATAGGACCTCTGTCCTGGGAGAGAGGATATTCTTGACCTGCACTAAGTTTTGATTTGGTTTAGATACACAGTGCACCCACTGAAAAGGGAAATATATAATTTTTCAATAAAAATCATCTCACATTCAAATAGTGTAACATGTTCTAGGCTGCTAGGGTAACTCTAAATGTGAATAAAAAGTAAAGATGCTGTGGGCAGAATGAATAAGCTACTTCTAGAACTCATCCCTTACCCCACATCTGCTTGCAGCTATTGGATTGTTTCTGTGTTTTCTGGTACTGCCTTTTTATACTCATCACCATTTGTCTGTAGGTGAGAAAATTGTGCTATTTGTCTTTGGAAACAGCTGTTCACAAAAATTTCCTTCATGTTTTTTTCCTCATCTGGTGCATACAAGTGCCAAGGGAACCAAAGATTTGGCATCAGGCTTTAATAAAATAAATAATATAAGTAGGAGTATATTCTAGGAGTTAAAACCATCTATGGAAACTGATTCCAGGTCTTGGGTAGGAAATGTAAAAAGTAAACTTGAATTAGTCAATGTAAGGAAGTTCTCAAGGACTCTTAGGAACATGTCAAACAGACACGGACTGGTATAAAGTAGCTCCCACAGGTCAAATTTGAGACAATTTGAGCATCAACAAGAATTATGATGGTAATGGAATAGTAATAATGACTTTAAAAATAATTTATCATTAATAACTCAATAATTTAAAAAAACACCTTGGTTCCACAGTGAAACAAAGTGAAGGTGTGGTTAGAATGCTAGCTGATACATGTAGAAGCCATAATAGCAGTAAAAAACCATCATAAGCCCTGGCTGGTGTGGCCTAGTTTGTTGGTCATAATTCTGTGCACTACAGAAAGGTTGCCCATTGTTTCCGGGTGGGGCACTTGGCCAAGTTTTGGGCTTGATCCCAGGTGGCATGTGTGTGGTAGGCAGCCAATCAATGTCTCAAATGGATGTTTCCTCTCTTTCTCTCTAGAAATCAATTAAAAAATCTTAAAAAAAAGAATCATCATAATTCCTAACATAATGAGATTCAGTGAAGGATTGTGTGAGTTTGTTGGAGAACAGGACATTCATATGGCATAAGGTATCCCACAGATTACCAATTACCAAGAAGAAGTGTACTATTAAAATGGAGAGATACAGCCATCATCTTTACTAAGTGATCAAATTTTGCATTACTAATAGAGAATCTAAAATATGTGTCCTTTATGAGATGTAATAAAGAGGTACACACATCTTGCAAAAATGTGTAAACTGAACCTACTCATAAAGGAAAAAAAATCTGACAAATCCAGAAAGAGGGACATTCTACAGGACAAGTGGCTGAGGCTCCTGACAAAATTCACTGGCTCAGTTTAAAAAGGAGAGTAGCCCTAACTGATTTGGCTCAGTGGATAGAGCGTCGGCCTGTGGACTGAAGGGTCCCAGGTTTGATTCTGGTCAAGAGCATGTACCTTGGTTGGGGGCACATACCCAGTAGGGAGTGTGCAGGAGGCAGCTGATCAATGTTTCTAACTCTCTATCCCTCTCCCTTCCTCTCTGTAAAAATCAATAAAATACATTAAAATAAAAATAAAAAGGAGAGTAGGGGAGACAGACTTTTGTAAAGTAAAAGAGACAATAACCAATTGTAGGTCATGAGTTGGAAGAAGTGAAACGGCTATAAAAGGAACTTGGGGGACAACTGGGGAAATTTGAATATGAACTGTATATTAGACATTTTGGAATGATTCTTTTTCTTAGAGTTGATCATTTACTGTGGTTATGGAAGCAAAATATCCTCTTTTTTTAAAAAATATATTTTATTGATTTTTTACAGAGAGGAAGGGAGAGGGATAGAGAGTTAGAAACATCGATGAGAGAGAAACATCGATCAGCTGCCTCCTGCACACCTCCCACTGGGGATGTGCCCGCAACCAAGGCACATGCCCTTGACCGGAATCGAACCCGGGACCTTTCGGTCCGCAGGCCGACGCTCTATCCACCGAGCCAAACCCGTTAGGGCCAAAATATCCTCATTCTTAAGAGATTCATACAAACTTTTGGGGGTGAAGTAAATGCAACTGACTTTCAAATAATTCAGCAAAAATAGTGCGTGGGGCTGTGTAGACAGAGTGGGAGAAAGCAAACGTGGCCACATGTTACAGTTAAGGAGCGGGAGGACAGCTGTGCGAATGCGCACTGCATTATTCTTCAAACTGTTCTTTAGATAAAAACGCTTTATTTAAAAAAGTAGATGAGGGTGGTAATGGCGTTCAGGGCAGGCCAGGAGCAAATGCCTCCAGGAGCAGTGACTAAAGCAGCGATATTGGAAACACCTCTCAGAATGACAGCTCCCGCCCTTCTCGGGCCCGTCCCGGTAGGCGGTTCTAGTCACGTGGCGCGGGGACCCCGCCCACAACCCCCAGAAGGCCGCGCGCGCCGCTGGCAGTTCGGCCGCTTCCCCTCGGCGGGCTGGGTGCGGCCATGGAGGGCGAGCCACCCCCGCTGGAGGATCGGCGGCGGCTGCAGGAGGAGCTGAGCGAGTTCGTGGAGAGCTGCTGTCGGACGCTGCAGGAGGTCACGTCGTCCCTGGGCTGGAGCCTGGATCGGCTGGACCCCGGGGAGGCGGCGGCGGCCGAGGTGAGGGTGCGGCCCTTGCGGCCCTGAGCTGCGGTTCTCTGTGGCGGCCGCGTCCACGCAGGGCGGCGGGGGGAAGGGCGTGGGAGCCGCGCCCGGGGCAGAGCGGCGGTGGGCTCCTGGGACGGCTCGGAGCGTCCGGCGCCTCCTGTGCTGCGCACCTCCTGGGACTCGGGTGTAAAGAAATGGTGACAGTGCTCTGGGCGGGCGGGAGCGGCGGGCCTGCTGTCTAGGGAGAAAACCAGCGACGGGGCCTCCGAGCGCTGCCGGGGTGCGGGCGGGGGCTTCGTCCTGCCGCACGGATGCGCGGGGGCACCAGACTCCGAGCCGGGAGAGCTTGGGTCTCGGTTCGCCTTTCTCTGCCCAAACTGTCCACCTCCCGCCGGGAGAGCACCGAGCCTGGAATGACGAAGGGCATCCCCGAGAGAGGGTGGCTAGCAGCCCTGCTGAACATGAGCATTGCTTTGAGAAAATGCAGGCAAGTGTGTTAGCGACCCCTTGTGATTTTCCAAAAGGCGTGGCGGGAGGGAGGGTGTTCTAAGGATGGTGGGTAGGGGCCTGGGTCGGCCATTTCAAAGAACCTATGCACATCTTTTTTAATGAGGGCAGTGGGGGAGGCAGGGGAGCGTTTTGAGTCTGGGCATGTCATAATTAATATCTACCTTTTAATAACCTGTTAATTGCTTCCACTTGTTGAACACTTGCTGTGTACTAGGCCCCGTTTGAATCGCCGTATGCATATAAACTCATGTATAACTTAATCTTCACCGTAGCTTTGTGAGAGAGGCACTGCTATTGTACCCATTTTATAGATGAGGAAACGGAAGCAAAAGAAGGTTAAGTATCTTGAGTAACTTAATACGGTCAGAAAACGGCAGACTTGGGATGCAGACTAGCCATAGTGTGAGGAATGGAATGGACAGCAAGCCTGGAAGCGGAGGGCGGTGTGGGGAGGCCCAGGAGGGCTTGCGGGGGAAGGGGGGGGGATAAAGGGTGAACACATAATACAGTATACAGGTGGTGTACTGTAGAATTGTACACGTGAAACCTATGTAATTTTACTAACCAATGTCACTCCAGTAAATTCAGTAAAAAAGTGAAAAAAAAAAATGACTGGAAGTGGAGCAAGTAGTTAGGTAATGGCTCTTGTAATCCATGATATCCTGAATTGGGGAAGTGGTAAAATGGATGGATTATGTGCAGGGATTTCAGAGTTATTTAGGAGTAAAAAGGATAGATAGGTGATTGATTAGATGTGGATGATGTGGGAGAAGAGGCAGTTATCTGCTTGGGCAAGTAGGACCTTTTTACTGAAATAGGAAAACACAAGACGAACAGATTTGGGATCAGGAAACCATGAATATAATGAATTTATTTTTGGTCATGTTGAAATTTTAGTGTCTTTAGTGTAAAGTGCTCAAGAGAGAAACAAGGTCTAAACTAGCTGTAGATTTTGGGAGTCATCCCTATATAGTGAAAGTTGAAGCCATGAGTTCTTCTAGTAAGTATGTATCAAATGGCAAAGGCCACCGGTGGTTAGACTGACATGAAACACCAGCATTTAAAGGGGGACAGGTAGTGAGTGGTACATACATACAATGGAATATTACTCAGCAATAAAAAGGAAGGAAATCCTGCCACTTGGGACAACATGGATGGACCTTGAAGAAATTGTGCCACGTGAAATAATTTTCACAGAGAAAGATGAATGCCTTCTGATTTTACTTATATGTGGAATCTAAAAAAACCAAAACAAATGAATAAGCCAAACAGAACAGAAACAGACTCAGATATACAGAACTAGCTGATAGTTGCCAAAGAAGTGGAGGTTGGGAGTTGGAAATTAAGTAAAAGAAAATGTATGTGTAGCCCAGGTATGTAAGTTCCCTCTGGGGAAAAAAAGAAAAGAAAGGGGGACAGGTAGAACAAGGAAGACGTCTTTAGAGGAGACCAGGTAGAAGGAACCAGAGAAGCAGAAGGACCATGAAAAGTGTATCAAGATGACAGAAATAGACATTTGGTTTGTGACCTTCTAAGCATTCAAATATGAATAAGGACTATGATATGTGCTTTGGCTATAGTAGTCAGAAGGTTGTTAGTGACCTTCTGATTGATGGGTGAGGTTGTTGAGGCAGTGAATGTGAACAAATCTTTCCGAATTGGGCTTTGATGAGGTGGAGAGGGGGCAAAGGCTATAGGGAAAGGTTTTTAATTTTTAAAATTTATTTATTTTGTATTCTTACCTGAGGATATGTTTATTGGTTTTAGAGAGGAGGAAGGAAAGAGGAAGAGAGGGGGTGAGGGGGGAGGGAGAGAGGGAAGGCAAGGAGAGGGAGGGGGGGGGAGAGAGAGAGAGAGAGAGAGAGAGAGAGAGAGAGAGAGAGAGAATATGAATGAATGAATTGGTTGGGTTGGTTGCCTCCCATACACACCCCAACTTCCAACTGAGGATTGAACCTGCAACCTAGGTATGTGCCCTGATTGGGAATCGAACACCCAACCTTTTGGTGTGTGGAATGACTTGGCTGGGGCTTTTAAAAAGTTTTAATATGCACATACACTCAGACAGGGTGTTGGGAGAGGCCTGCAGAAGAGGACATAACTGGATAGTACCACTTTACAAAGTAGTAAACATTTAATGGTGTAATTATTTAAATCTTTAAATATTATGTACCTTTTTCCTTTGATTCTGTTTGATTTTTATAGGATGAAGTTGTGATATGTCCTTATGATTTCAATCATCACATGCCTAAATCATCTTTAGCAAAGCACATGGTATCATGTAGATTGAGGAAACTGGGCTACACCAAAGAAGAAGAGGTATGCGTGTGTCATATAATTCATGCACTAATAAATTCATAATATATGGAAGTATAGGGTGAGGTTTTCTGACATGAAATAATAGTCATTTGTGGGATAGAATGGTACTAGCCTGATTTCACAAATTATTGCAAGAGATATTTCAGTGATACTAATCTATTGTTGGTTTATGTCAAATCTTAAAATAGTTAATCATCTGATTCTCAAGAACACTGACTTTTTTTGTTTGTCTTTTTACTGTTTAGGATAAAATGTATAATTCTGAATTTTTCTATGAGAATATGAAGATACCTTCAATCACTTTGAGTAAGTATTAGTAGATTATAATTTTTAAAATATCTTACTATATGTATGTATTGATAATTCATTTTTTAATTATCAAAAGAATGGACTTTATGATTAAGGACATTTATACCTTAAGAGAATGTAGGATTGATTAATGTATAGTGAAACTAGTTTTTGTAATCTGAAAGTTAGAGACCAGGCCTGTTATATTAATATTTAGTGAAAATCCTGAAAAGCTTTGTACAGTAGGACAGACACCTTTCTTCTTAGTTATAACAAAAATCTGTCCACTCAACACAGTTTGAAGACAGGACTGAAGATGGAAATGTGTTCTAAGACAGCAGTCGCCAACCTTTCGGACCTCATGGACCACCAGTGGTCCGTGGGCTACCGGTTGGTGACCGCTGTTTTAAGAGGTTGAAATCTTGGGCTCTAAAGTAGAAGGCCCTGATTCAGCTCCTGGTTTTGTCACTAATAGATGTGTAACTTTCAGCAAGGTAATTAATCTGTTTGTTGTCTAAATTTCTTTATAAAATGGGAATGATGGTATTTGCACTTTTTTTAAAATGTATTTTTATTGATTTCAGAGAGGAAGGGAGAGGGAGCGAGAGAAACATCAATGATAAGAGAGAATCATTGATCGGCTGCCTCCTGCATGCCCCCTACTGGGGATCAAGCCTACAACCCAGGCATGTGCCCTTGATCAGAATCGAACCTGGGACCCTTCAGTCTGCAGGCCGACACTCTGTTCACTGAGCCAAAGGAGCTAGGGCAGGGTATTTTCACTTTTATGAAGATTAAATGATACATGTAATATTCTTAGAATAGTGCTTGACACTTAGTGGGATTCAAGAAATGTTACATATTTGTTGCTAAAATTTTTAGCGGTTACTGTTTTGTGCCTGATTATGTTTTCTGAACCACCTGAACTCTGGTTACTTACTAGGATCTAGCTAGATCTGAAAGAATTTCTGCTTTCAGACTACCTAGGCCAGTGGTCCTCAACCTGTGGGTCACAACCCCTTTGGGGATTGAACGACCCTTTCACAAGGGTCGCCTAAGACCATCGGAAAACACACATATAATTACATATTGTTTTTGTGATTAATCACTATGCTTTAATTATGTTTAATTTGTAACAATGAAATTGGGGGTCACCACAACATGAGGAACTGTATTAAAGGGTCGCAGCATTAGGAAGGTTGAGAACCACTGACCTAGGCAGTGATTGGGGGTGTTGCCTCTCTTAAGATTTTAAAGGTTTGTGTGTCTAAAGAACTTGGATTGGAACCCAGTTAATAATCTAATCATGGACACTGATGATTCATATTGTGTTTGGATTTTTTTGACAGATAAGGACTCACAATTCCAGATAATTAAACAAGCTAGAAATGCAGTTGGAAAAGATGGTGACTATTATAATCAAAGTAAGTGGCATCATAGTTTGAGCTAAATAATGAATAAAACTATTTTTCTCCCACAAGCACACGTGTTATTAATTTTTAAGAAAAATCTTGTGAAAACAATTATATGGGAAAGGTTAAGTTTTACATATTAGACTACTGTGCTTGGTGTCAGCTTAGTTGTTAGATATTTTCTGCTCAAATACACAAGTCTGACTAGGACACTGTCTTAGGACTTCATGCTTTGGAATTTCCGAATAGATTAGATTGCCTTATAGATCATTTTTAAAATTATGATTATTTAGTTAATAAATCCTATTTAGTGAGACTGTTTTACCCTGAGATTTCCTTTCTTGAGGATTAGCCCATTGTTAAATGTATTATTGAAATGAACATGAAAGGAAAGACTTAGGCTAAAAGAGATTAGTTCTCACAGCTGCCCCTCAAAATAAAATGCAAAGTATTAGGTACAATTTCAGAGGGTTTGTGGATCCTTTTATGCCCAGTTTTGGAGCTGGGTTAAGAGTTTCTTTCTGGGGCTTATGTCAGCAGAGACTAGGTTAGAATTTTTAAGTGTGAGCTTCTGGGAAATTGAAAGAAAACTTAATCCATCAAAAACATAGAAGGTAAAGGAGTAAATAGATTTAATAGATTTTGAACCTAGTTAAAACATCTAAGCTAAACATGACTGGCTCCTTTTTATAAGGATTTGAGTTGTTTTTTGAACCTTCTGAAGGTAGCTTTCTCTGGACATCTTACCTTTCTTTCCTCACTCTTCTGAATTATATTCACCAGCCCATTATTATGGTTTGTTTTCTTTCTTGTTAAGTTCAGGGTCTTAGCTCATTTTTCTAAGCCAATATTTGGGCTCGATTTCTCCCTAAGTGCCCTGTGGCTTCAGAAGGAGGAAGTCCCTTACCTTTAGTCTGCATTACATTGTTTCCTATAACAGCAGAAGCACATTGTATTTCCTGTTTTGAAGCTCCTGTTTTTATGTACTTTGTGCTGAATTCCAGGTTTTTCTCTTTGAGGGAGACATTTGACTTTCTCTTATTGAAGAGTTTACTGAACCCCTATTATTGGTTCTACCTATTGCCCCTGTTAATCAACCAATTAAAAAGTAGAGGATTTTTTTTTGAGGGGTTAATTGTTAAAAGACTTTATTTGACCTTACCTAGTTAGATTTACTGAATTTATTAGAGTTTAAAGAGAACTTGGAAGATCATCTAATCTAGTGTCTGCTTTTTACTGATAAAGAAACAAACTCTGACTGATAGAGATGATAAGGTTCTGGTGTCTTTGTTCTAAAGGTCCTTAATACTTTTAAGAGATTTTTTTCCAAAGCCTTGTTATATATTTTATTACTCCTTCACAGTAAACTTGTGATAAGTTGGATGAGTATTTTCCCCTCCATAGTAGGTGAAGAAGTAGAGGCACACATAACTGAATTGCTAGATAATAGCAAAGCTGGATCCAGAGCCAAGTTCTAAATTTTGTCACAAACACAGCACTGAATTATTCTGCATTCTGTTAGAAACTCTACATTTAGTGATATTTGTGGATTCTACATAATTGCTCAAATACATTCATTATTTATTATGTCTATCATGATTAATTAAAAGAATGTCACAAACTTCATATCTGTACATAATATTACTATTAATACTGTTCATTTGGGTGAGCCTATTTTAAAGAAATAAACTAGTTGCTTGGCCTTATACAAATGACAGCTTTTCTGAGTTTTTACTTTCTTATCTGTAATATAAAACTATCTCCTAGTGTTGTTTAGAGCAATAGAAAGCAATATTAAGATGAAATGGGTGAGAATTATATATATGTATAATTACTCATATAGGTATATATGAGTAATTTTCTAGATCATTTTCTAATCTGAGGTTTTTATATAAGAGTAATAAGGCAGATTTGGACATTGAGTTTAGTTTTTTATAAAAACAAATAATTACTTTGAATGAATACTTCTTTCAGTACATTAAGAGGAAATTTTATTTGATTTTGAATTTTTGTACTAGCTTAAATTAAGATTTAACTGTTAAGAACTATTTTTATATGATCTATAACCCTCTTTTTAAAACTATTTTTCATCTTGTGTAGAGTTCTGCATTTCCTCAACAGAGATTATTTTTGTAGTTTGCTTATACCTAAACATTTTACTCCAGGACAAAAATCTCTTTAATATCTTTTTTTTGATGTGTTTATTTTGAGGGAAGACGACTAACATGAACAATTTTACATTTTTTCATGTAATTAATATTTTTTATTCACTAAATTTTAAGTTTTTTTGGTGTGGTTATATATTTATGTTTTCATTTTATCAGTCTTATTAGGTCTCAATTCATTAATCTTCCTGAAAGCTTAAATAACCATTAGATCTACTTACTTATTTTTAGATATAGTTACTTTGGTTAATTTTGTAACCAAGATATTAATTTCAATCATAAACAATCATTTTATATTTGATGGTTTATCTTTTTCCTTCTGTATTAAAGATTCAAGTTGTTATACTTGAATTTCATGACATACAGTTGACCTTTGAACAACATAGGTTTGAATGCATAGGTCCACTTATACGTGGATTTCTTTCAATAAATACTGTTGGCCCTCTGTATTTGTGGGTTTTGCATCCACGGGCTTGGCATCTGAGGAGGATACCAAAATAGTATTTTTAATCCACAGTTGGGAATCCAGGGATGTGGAGGGCTGACTATGTATTGTTCTACACCATTTTATGTAAGGGACTTGAACATCCACAGATTTTGGTGTGAGTCATGGCTGCGATTTGAAGATCAGGGTACTATGGCTAACAAACCCTAAAGAGATAGAAATAGAGTAGTTCTAAAGCTAATCTGTTCCTACCACTTGTGAAACTTTGGCAAGTCATTTTGCTTCTGTGGGCTGTAATTTATCTCTAATGTTAAGAAGTTGACTCTGAATTCTCTCTAAAATTCTAAATATGTATCTCAGAAATAGTACCTCTTGTTAATAAATAGTATAGTATCTCATACGTTTAAGATGCCCTATGATGGCAAAAGTGACTAACAAGGAAGAATTGAGAATTAGAGTTACTAAAAAGTAGAGTAGAGTGTCAGTTCAGGGTGATGAAAAGCTCTGGAGATGGATAGAAGTGATGGTTGCACAGCAGTGTGAATGTACTAATGCCAATGAACTGTACACTTAAAGATGGTTAAAATAGTAAATTTTATGTTTTGTATGTTTTACCACAATTAAAAACTATTATACAGAAAAGTAGAAGTTCACAGAATTGGTATGATTACAGCACATTGAAATGCACTCTATCTAAAGCATAGAAACTTGTGTTAGAAAATTTACATTTTATGGAAATGTAAGCTTATGTAAGTGTGTTTACCCTTATTTTTTGTCAGAAATATCTATGTTCTGAATGATTTGAATGCAGTTTGTTGTTTAACTTTTCCTGTACTTTTTCTTTTTCAGTAATTGGGGTGAGTATAAAGAGGAATTAGGAACCTGAATGTACTCCTTATTTAAAGATATGCAGTATCCTTTTTGCAAATGATATCCTTTTAAAAGTATCATTCAAATTTCTAAACTTTATCTTAGTCACTGTCACAGTATTACAGTCTTGATTTGGAATTTTAGTTGAATTTTCAAAGAATTTAAGTATCAATCTTTATATAGAAATTTAAGATGAATAAAGAAAACTCCAATATATTTCAAAGAGGAAATTATATTTCTTTGTTTGAAAAATAACAGGCAAAGATTTGTGTGGAGCTTGTTTATAACACAGTCATGCACTGCAGTTATGCATGTTTTGTTATGCAGTGATCTGCATATACCATGGTGGTTCATAAGATTTTAATGGGTTATAAGCAAAAGTTTGTGATGTTGAAAGAAAAGGCTGGACCCAACTAGGATGTTGAATTTACTGCTAGTTCTGTCTGGGTGGCTTAAATAGACAAGGAGGCTTGGCATGTTGTCTCCTTGCCCTGCACCCTGCCCCTGGCTGGGGCCTAGAGTTGGTGAAGGAGGGGAGCCCAGTAGCTCCCGGCCCCCACCCCCTGGCACCCACCCCTGCACACACATTAACACACACTAAAGCTCATAAACTCACTGTCCTTCCCTCTGTCTGTTTCTCTTCGTCTCTCTTTCCTTTCAATTCTCCCCCGCCCCCCCCCCCATCTCTGTTTCTCACTCTTTCTGTCAAGGGCCCTCTCTTTCCTTCTCCCATCCTCCCTCTTTTATTCTCATCTTAAGTTTTATCTGTGTCTCTTTTGATCTCTGCTTCTGCTCTCCCTTTCTATTTCTCCCTACTTTCCCTCCTTCTGATGTCTACTCTCTCTCCCTCCACAACCCTTCCCGACCCCCCCAAGCCACACGCCCACACACACTTGATCTTTTACACAGTATTTTTATTCTACCTTTTAAGGTTTAGCTATGTTTAGATACACAAATACCATTGAGTTACAGTTGCCTGCAGTATTTAGTAAAATAATAACATGCTGTGCAGGCCTGTAGCCTAGGAGCAATAGGCTATACCACAAAGCCTAGGTGTGTAGTAGGATATACCATCTAGGCTTGTGTACTCTGTGGTAGTCCCACAACGATGGAATTGCTTAACGACACATTTCTCAGAACATATTCCCCTCATTAAGTAGAGTATGACTGAACATTAGTGTTTTCTAATCTTTTCTAATTTTTCTTCCAGACTTTGTAGCCTATATTCAAAAGAATTAGGTTTATCAAAGCAAACTCATTTTTTAAATGTTTTAACATCTGGCTGCACATAAGCGCATTTCCTAGTGTCTATCAGAAGTGGAGTAAAATTGGTTGACTTCAAGGGAAACCTTTCTTCCCCACTAATTCAAAATCCTTTGACTTGCACATTTAAGTTATCTATAGCTGTTAGACCACAGACTTTATTCAGTGTAGCTATTCTCTTAATTTGTAGACAAATATAAAGTAATCTTTTGTGTGTATGTGTTGCAATGCTTAGTTTATAGTATGCTTTTATTATTTTATTTTTTTTGCGTCTTAGGAAGTCAGCAAAGCTAATATCAAATATAAGTATCAGGGAAGAGCTACTGATTTTATATTGTTCTGTGAACCAGAGTTATTACTATTGGGTAACTTAGCAAACATTAAAAGGGTTTATTTGGTAGCTCATGTTCTTTGCATTAGTGAATAATGAGTCTGGGACTATCGTTTTAAATTGCTTTATTTACAGTTACAATAATTTTTTATTTCTTTGAGAAAATTTGATTCTCAAAACAAAATTTTTCTTCAAAGTTTAATACATCATATCAAGGTATTGTATTTACTTTTTTTCATTAATGAGCAGATTTTAGAAAGTTCTGTAACTGTTGTGGGGGCACTGCTGTTAACTTTTTTCTGTTAACTTGGTTAAGCCAATATGCTTCCTTTTCAGAAAATTAAAACAAGTTTAGTCTCAATGTAACTTGTCTTTCTCTGGTCTGAGGAAGTGTGGGATTTCTGCTACTAATTGTTTTTGGTCCGTAGCTCTGAGTCATTACACAAATGTGATATATTGTTAATGTGGAATGAGTAGCTTGATGTCTCATATAAAAAGGACATTTTTAAACACATTTTTCATATTTCTATAATTTATTTTCAATGGAACTATAATACATATTACCTATTAAAAGTCTCTCCCCATCAGCTTTTATGGGAAAAAACATATGCACAGAAAGGAAGTTAATATCTACTTTTATAGCGTGGGTAGCCTTTGAAAAATTGTTAACCAAAAGGTTTTCTTATGAACATTGTCTTATGATAATTACTGCCTGCCTTCATGGGATCTGTTTTAACATTGTTGGAGAGAAGAGCGAATATCCACAATATATCCTGTATGTGAATGTAGCATTCAGGATAAAGTCATTGTTTTATCATTTGTTACATAGATTGATATTTTGTAATTTAGGCATACTATGAAAAAAATTTGTGTTCATACTGCATTACTATAGTGCATGTTTATAGATAAGTAGTAGATCTTAAGTCCGCAATGCTTCATGTATTTTTATTTTTGTGGTTTTATTTTTACTTTAGGGATTTATTCTTCATTACCTGTCGAAGTTCCTCTGAATCACAAACGATTTGTTTGTGATCTGACCCAAGCTGATCGTCTTGCCCTCTATGATTTCGTAATTGAGGAGACAAAGAAAAAGCGCTCTGATTCTCAAATTATCGAAAATGACAGTGATCTCTTTGTAGACTTGGCTGCAAAAGTCAATCAAGGTTTGAGATGAATATCATAGTTTTATATTTCTTAATAGTTATTCCATTCTTTGCTGTTATTAAGATGATATGTCAGGCCATTTTAAGAATAAGATGGTTTTGTGTCATCTGATATTCACGTATAAAAGATGTTTATTCAGTAGTGAAAGTTTGCTCTCTGATTTTACATTAAGCAAAGCATCCTTCTGTGGGAATGTTACAGCTGTGCTGTTGCTGTAATCTATGTACCTAAACACTCTTATGTTCAACTGATGACTGGAGAAAAGGAATGGTATAAAACTTAGCCCATTTATATAATGTAGAATTTTTAGAATATTTTTAATATATTTTGAAACATGTTAAAATGTGATTGTGGTGTTCCTGTTAATTTTTAAGAATGTAAATTTTTCTAAGGATATAATAATTTTATTTTTTATTAGATAATAGTCGAAAAAGTCCAAAATCTTACCTTGAAATCTTGGCAGAAGTGAGGGATTATAAAAGAAGACGTCAATCCTATAGAGCTAAGAATGTTCACATAACCAAGAAATCATACACTGAGGTAAGTTTTATATAATCTTGTAGAGCTTTGTTGAGAACAGACATTTCCTTTATGTAGATTTCTAAATCTGTTCTATGGATTTCCATAGTTCCTTGGAGATTTTCTGAAAAAATAAGTATCTTCAAGCTAGACACACCTGATCTGTAGTTGCTTTATCACTTTCAGATCCACTCCTTGCCAGACAAAGGCTTTTTAGGATACAGAAACCTTATATAAAGAGGTTGTACAATCTTTAAAAAATACCTACTTTTGAGAAAGTGATAAGAGGATTTTAGATTTTGGCTTTAAACATACCTGGTTGCTTAAGTTTCGATTCTGCTGTTTATCATTACTGTTTGACTTGGGCAAGTTATTTGAAGTTTTTAAGAATGATTTATAAAAGATTTATCACAGCATAGACTTTGCAGGGTTGTTATAAAAATTGATTGAGATTATACATGTGGATATAAATTGCTCAATAAATAGCTATAGTTCTTTGGCAGAAATTTTAGTGTGTTTTTATGTACTCTGCTAAATATTTAGACAAGAAATGTCTTGGTATAAATTATTTATAATTTATTTAATATATTTTTATTGATTTCAGAGAGGAAGGGAAAGAGAGAGATCAATGATGAGAGAGAATAATTGATCAACTGCCTCCTGCACGCCCTACATTGGGGATCGAGTCGCAACCTGGGCATATGGCCTGACCAGGAATTGAACCATCACCTCCTGGCTCCTATCAGTGTTGGCGAACCTATGACACATGTGTCAGAGGTGACACGTGAACTCATTTCTTTGGTTGATTTTTCTTTGTTAAATGGCATTTAAATATATAAAATAAATATCAAAAATATAAACCTTTGTTTTACTATGGTTGCAAATATCAAAAAATTTCTATATGTGACACGGCACCAGAGTTAAGTTAGGGTTTTTCTTTTTTTTTTTTAAATATATATTTTATTGATTTTTTTTTTTTTACAGAGAGGAAGGGAGAGGGATAGAGAGTTAGAAACATCGATCAGCTGCCTCCTGCACACTCCCTACTGGGGATGTGCCCGCAACCAAGGTACATGCCCTTGACCGGAATCGAACCTGGGACCCTTGAGTCTGCAGGCTGACTCTCTATCCACTGAGCCAAACTGGTTAGGGCTAAGTTAGGGTTTTTCAAAATGCTGACATGCCGAGCTCAAAAGGTTCGCCATCACTGTAGGTTAATGCTTAACCCCTGAGCCATGCCAAATTATTTATAATTTATATAATTATATAACTATATTATAAAATTATGATTAATTTCATTAATCTCTTGATGTTTATCTAGATTTATTTTCAGATGTCATTTACTGGGTAGAGTTGATGAATTTTTTGATAACATGAATTACCTTGCCCAGATTCTAAATAATTTCCTCATCAAAACCCTAATTGTTTCCACATTATTTTTCTTTTCTCTATGATTTCAAAGACTTTCCACAATCTGGCCTCATTCTACCAAGTATTTTCTTTTGCATATGTCTTAAATTATGTCTGGTTTTACATAGCTTTATTCTTACCTCCACATTTCAATACATGTTGTTTTCTCATCTGACATGCTCTTGTTTTGCTGTTTTAATTTTTTTTTCCTGTTACATAAGTTGCAGGTGTACACCATTGTATTTTGATATTTATAGCTACTACAAAGTGATCACCTCTACTAGTAAAAGTCTAGTTACTATCATCTCCATACAATTGACCACTTTCCTCCTTTCGCTCACTGTGCAACCACCAATATGTTATGTGTATCTATGAGATTTTGTGTTGTTTTTTGTTTTTTGCTCAATTGTTTTGGTTTCTAAAAGATTTCACATGAGTGAAGTCACTTCGTATTTGTCTTTCTCTTCCTGACTTATTTTGCTTACATTATACCCTCAGGGTCCATTCCTGGCTTATTTTGCTTACATTATACCCTCAGGGTCCATTCATAGTGCCACAAATGGCAAGATCTCATTCCCTTTTATGGCTCAGTAGTACTCTATTATGTGTATGTGACATCTTTATTCATTCATCCATCAGTGGACATTTTGGTTGTGTCCACTTCTTGGCTATTGGAAATAATGCTGTGACAAGCATAGGGGTGCATATATCTTTTTATTTTTATTTTTAAAATACCTATTTTTTAAAATAAATCTTCATTGTTCAGATTATTACAGTTGTTCCTCTTTTTTCCCCCCATAACTCCCCTCCACCCAGTTCCCACCCCACCCTCTGCCCTTACCCGCCCCCACGGTCCTCATCCATAGGTGTACAATTTTTGTCCAGTCTCTTCCCACACCACCCCCCCCCCACCCTTTTCCCCCCTGAGAATAGTCAGTCCACTCCCTTTCTAGGCCCCCGATTCCATTATATTCACCAGTTTATTCTGTTCATCAGATTATTTATTCACTTGATTTTTAGATTCACTTGTTGATAGATGTGTATTTGTTGTTCATAATTTGTATCTTTTCCTTTTTCTTCTTCTTCCTCTTCGTAAAGGATACCTTTCAGCATTTCATATAATACTGGTTTGGTGGTGATGAACTCCTTTAGCTTTTTTTTTTTATCAGTGAAGCTCTTTATCTGACCTACAATTCTGAATGATAGCTTTGCTGGATAAAGTAATCTTGGTTGTAGCTTCTTGCTATTTATCACTTTGAATATTTCTTGCCACTCCCTTCTGGCCTGCATAGTTTCTGTTGAGAAATCAGCTGACAATCGTATGGGTACTCCCTTGTATGTAACTGACTTTCTTTCTCTTGCTGCTTTTAAGATTCTCTCTTTGTCTTTAGCTCTTGGCATTTTAATTATGATGTGTCTTGGTGTGGTCCTCTTTGGATTCCTTTTGTTTGAGGTTCTCTGCGCTTCCTGGACTTGTAAGTCTATTTCTTTCACCAGGTAGGGGAAGTTTTCTGTCATTATTTCTTCAAATAGGTTTTCAATATCTTTCTCTCTTCTTCTGGAACCACTATAATTCGTATGTTTGTATGCTTGAAGTTGTCTCAGAGGCTCCTTACACTTTCTTCATATTTTTGGATTCTTTTTTCTTTTTGCTTTTCTGGTTGGGTATTTTTTGCTTCTTCATACTTCACATCTTTGACTTGATTCTTGGGATCCTCTTGCCTGCTGTTGGATCTCTGTATATTATTCTTTATTTCAGTCAGTGTATGCTTAATTTCTAGTTGGTCCTTTTTCATATCTTCCAGGGTCTCACTAAATTTATCAGCGGTTTCTAGAAAATTCTTGAAAAACCTTATAAGTGTGGTTTTGAACTCTATATCCAGTAGTTTGCTTTCCTCCATTTCTGTCATTTGTGATCTGTTTCTTTGTCTCCGCATTTTGGCTGGTTCCCTGTGTTGATAGAGTGGCTTTGTGTGCTAGGTGTCCTATAGGGCCCAGTGGCTCAGCCTCCCCAATTACCTGAGGTAGACACTCATGGTGCACCCCCTTGTGGGCTGTGTGCACAGTCTTGTAGTTAAGCCTTGATTGATGTTGGTATCACTGGGAGGAATTGACCTCCGGGCCAGTTGTCTGTGAGAATCAGCTGTGTCTACAGTGGGAGAACTTCTGTGCCTTAGACAGCCTTATGGGGCAAGACTTGATTCAGTGGGGCTTTGGTGCTCACTCAGTCTACCCCCTGAGTGTGTCCCTTATGGATCTGAGGAGTTGTAATCTGGATGGTCCCACTCTGACCACTAGGTATTCAGGCTCTTGGATTTCTAAGGAGGTGCTAATTTAGCCTCTGCCTGAGACTTCTCAGCAGGAGCTATGGAGAGATCTGCAGATTCCTTTTCCTTGTTTGGGGTTTGGAGGTGCTCAGATGAGGCCCAGTTGTGAAGCAATGCAAGCTGCTGTGGGGCCTTGAGCCTTCTTTTCGATGTTCTGGTTCTCTCTGACCCAGCTGCAGTTTGTTAGGGAATTTTAGATCTCAAAGGACCAGCCCATTCATATGCAAAAGCGTCTGCACACAGCTTGGGTGGGGCGGGGTCTCAGGGAATCAACAGGGTGGAGTAAACAGCTATGGCTGGTCCTCAGTCGTGCCCTAAGAGGCCCCCGGGTCTCAGTGTCCCACGGTAATCGCTGCAAGCACCTCTGAGAAAGCTGCCCTCGAGTTCCGCCTGCTGCCAGACAGTCCAGTTTCTCCCCGTATGAATCTGGGTCCCCAGAGACTTGCCCAGAACTGGAGTCAGGGCCATCGGGAGCTTGAGACTCCCGATTGAAGAAGACTCCAGCGTGCCCTGTTGCCAGCCCTTTCCGCGAGCGCGCCTCCGTACCTCTGCACTTTACTTCCGCACCTCCTCCTCAGTGTGCTTTTCTCTTTCCTTCTAGTTGTAGAATTTCCACTCAGCCAGCCTTCCTGTGGTTCTGGGTGATGTCTGTTTTGTCTTTTAGTTGTAGTTTTTTTTTTTTTTTTTTTTTTTTAATATATTTTATTGATTTTTTACAGAGAGGAAGGGAGAGAGATAGAGAGTTGGAAACATCGATGGGAGAGAAACATCGATCAGCTGCCTCCTGCACACTCCCTACTGGGGATGTGCCCGCAACCCAGGTACATGCCCTTGACCGGAATCGAACCTGGGACCTTTCAGTCCGCAGGCCGACGCTCTATCCACTGAGCCAAACCGGTTTCGGCTTAGTTGTAGTTTTGAAGTGGTTGTGCGAGGCAGCAATTTCAGGTGTTTACCTATGCCTCCACCTTGGTTTCTCCCTCAAATATATTGTATTGATTTTTTACAGAGAGGAAGGGAGAGGGATAGTTAGAAACATTGATGAGAGAGAAACATCGATCAGCTGCCTCCTTCACACCCCCCACTGGGGATGTGTCCTTAACCAAGGCACATGCCCTTGACTGGAATCGAACCTGGGATCCTTCAGTCTGCAGGCCGACGCTCTGTCCACTGAGCTACACTGGTCAGAGCTATCTTTTCAAATTAATGTTTTCATTTTTTTAATCCTTACCTGAGGATATTTTTTCATTGATTTTTAGGAAGAGTGAAAGGGAGGGTAGAGAC